CTTAAGTGTCTTTCAGCCATTTTAGATTCCTCTGTTGAGAGTCCTCTGTTTAGGTCTGTACTCCATTTTTTTTTTTTTTTTAAATTGGATTATGTGTTCTTTTGGTGTCCAATTTCTTGAGTTCTTTGCAAATTTTGGAGATCAGACCTCTGTCTGATGTGGGGTTAGTGAAGATCTTTTCCCATTCTGTAGGCTGTCATTTTGCCTTGTTGACCATGTCCTTTGCTTTACAGAAGCTTTTCAGTTTCAGAGGTACCATTTATTAATTGTTTCTCTCAGTGTCTGTGCTGCTGGGGTTCTATTTAGGAAGTGGTCTCCTGTGCCAATGCATTCAAGTGTACTTCCCACTTTCTCTTCTATGAGGTTCAGTGTGGCTGGCTTTATGTTGAGGTCTTTGATCCATTTGGACTTGAGTTTTGTGCATGGTGATAGATATGAGTCTATTTTCATTCTTCTACATGTTGATATCCAGTTATGCCAGCATCACTTGTTAAATATGCTTTCTTTTTTCCATTTGATATTTTTTGCTTCTTTATCAAATATCAGGTGTTTGAAAATGTGTGGATTGATATTCGAGTCTTCTATTTGGTTCCATACATTTACAATTTTTAAAAATTTATTTGACTTTATTTTACATATATTAGTGATTTGCCTGTATTCATGTCTATGTGAGGGTGTCAGATCTCCTGAAACTATAGTTGCAGACAGCTGTGAGCTGCCATGTGTATGCTGGGAATTGAACCCAGGTCCTCTGGAAGAGCAGATCATGCTCTTAACCACTGAGTCAACTCTCCAGCCCTGATAAGTTTACAACTGCAATATTACCTCATCAACAAATGGAAATTAGACATAAAGATTACCTATCCTCTAACTTAAAAAAATTATTTATAAAAACAGTACTCAATTATAAAAAATAAAAACAACACTGATAAGTGCAATGCTTTGGGTTCAAATTCCTAACCAGGTTATTTGTTTTATGATTCTCTATCTCTGACAAAAGGTAGAACATGGGGCTGGAGAAATGGTTCAGCAATTAAGAGAAGACCTGAGTTTAATTCACACATTAGTAAGCTGACTCTGGCTCCAGGAGATCTGGCACCACCTTCTGACCTCCACGAGCACTGCATGGACATGGACAAACTTGACTCCCTGCAACACATAATCTTTTTAAAAATGTAAGGATGCAGAGCCCTGGCTGCTTTGGCAGAGGATTCCAGTACCCACATGGCTGCTCACAGTTATCTGTAAATCCTGTTCCAGAGGATCCAATGTCCTTTTCAGTCCTCTGCTGGTAACGGACATGCATGTGGTACACAGGTAAGTGCAGGCTCCCAAACGCATGAAAAAGAAAACCTAAAATCTCTTATCTAATAACAACAATAAGAACAAATCCATCTCTTAAATTCATAATGCTACAGTGTTGTTGGTTCATGAGATCTAGGCTTCTCAGGAAGGGTGAGTGACATGCACACCTTTGTAAGCGATGATACCATCACAGATCTCTTTGAAGATCTGTGCTAGGCGTGCTGCCCGGGCCACTTCCAGGTTTTCTTCTGCGGCTGCCAAGCGTCTTGTTCGAACAGATCTAGCTGTCTGCAGGGCAGAGAACTGGGTCATGAAGACATCTGCAAAGAGAAGGTATAAAGCAGTTCAAGAAATGAAGAATTGGATTCATGTTTTTCTTTTCCAGCTGACTAGTTCTTTCTATTTTTTTAAATCTATTATCTTAATATCTTTAGGATATTAAGTAGAATTAGTGGGCAGGTAGTTGCTTCTCTTCCCCTACATAAAAAACTAGAAAACACTACTGTTTCTATATAGCGGTAAATGCTACAGAGTGCAGTGGCTCCAAGTGTATATACTCCATAATGAGTCTAAGCAGCCTCCATCCTTCTTACTTTCTTCTCTCCTCCCTATATTAACATGCTGCTTACACCCTCCCACCCTTAAGTCTCTCGGCAGCTAAGAGTTTGTATTATTGCTCTTGTTGAGGACCTGAGTTTAATTCTTAGCTCCCATGTCAGGTAGTTCACAACCTTCTCTATCTCCAGTGTCCTGGTATGTCATGTCTTCCTCTAGACTTACACACTTAATATACAAAAGTCTTTAGATAAACGTGTGAGTGAGCCGAGTCTAAGCTGCAGGAAGTACTCTTTCTATTTCCAGTTCACGTCCTCTCTTGCAGTGCTGCTAAAAACAGTCTTGCCAAAGTCAATGTGAGGAGGAGGATGGCAAACTGGAGTGCATGCACGTGTGTGTGTGCACGTATGCGAACACGCGCATGTGAATTTAGCAACAGGCAGTGTGCCTGGCACTACATTGCTCTGGTTGGGTCATATACATCAGGCTGGCCTTTTTAAATATGCAGTTCCTCTGCTTCTGCATCCTAAATCCTGGGATTATAGAATGTGTCATCACACCTGGCTCAAATAATTTTTTGTTGTTGTTGTTGGTTTTTTTGAGAGAGGGTTTCTCTGTAGCTTTGCAGCCTGTCCTGGAACTCACCATGTAGACCGGGCTGACTCCCTAGTGCTGGGATTAAAGGCATGCATCACCACCGCCTGGCTTGTTTTCTTATTTTCATGTATTTAGGTTGGAAGGAGGCAATCATAGGAAAGTGGTTAGCAATTTGGGACTCCTTTTTGTTTAGGCACACACTTCTCTTAACAAGTGGCAACATTAGACACTGATCATACTCACACACCCCTCTCTGAATAGGTGACTTGTAAGATAGGACCCTTTGGTAGTTTAAAATGAAAATGGCCCCCAAAGGGAGTGGCACTATTAATCCACACACCTATGAACATCTGATTTTTGACAAAGAAGCAAAAAATATAAAATGGAAAAAAAAGCATATTTAACAAATGGAGCTGGCATTAACTGGATATCAACATGTAGAAGAATGAAATAGACCCATATCTATCACCATGCACAAAACTCAAGTCCAAGTGGATCAAAGACCTCAACCTAAAGTCAACCACACTGAACCTCACAGAGGAGAAAGTGGGAAATATACTTGAACGTATTGGCACAGGAGACCAATTCCTAAGTATAACCCCAGTAGCACAGACACTGAGAGAAACAATTAATAAATGGGACCTCCTGAAACTGAAAAGCTTCTGTAAAGCAAAGGACATGGTCAACAATACAAAATGGTAGCCTACAGAATGGAAAAAGATCTTCACCGACCCCACTTTGGACAGAGGGCTAATCTCCAAAATATACAAAGAACTCAAGAAACTGGTCATTAAAAGAATAAATAGTTCAATAAAAAAAATGGAGTACAGACCTAAACAGAGAACTCTCAACAGAGGATTCTAAATTGACTGAAAGACACTTAAGGAAATGTTCAACATCCTTAGCCATCAGAGAAATGCAAATGGCCAAGATCAAAAACACTGATGACAACTTGTGTTGTAGAGGATGTGGGGAAAAGGGAACACTCCTGCATTGCTGGTGGGAGTGTAAGCTGGTACAACCCCTTTGGATGTCAGTGTGGTGATTTCTCAGAAAATTAGGAAACAACCTTCCTCAAGACCCAGCAATAGCACTTTTGGGTGTCTACCACAAGGACATGTGCTCAACTATGTTCATAGCAGCTTTGTTTGTCATAGCCAGAACCTGGAAACAACCTAAATGCCCCTCGACTGAAGAATGGATAAGGAAAATGTGGTACATTTACACACTAAAGTACTACACAGCAGAAAATAATGACATCTTGAAATTTGCAGGCAAACGAATGGATCAAGAAAACATATTGAGTGAGATAATCCAGACCCAGAAAGACAAATATAATATGTACTCACTCATAAGTGGCTTTTAGACATAATGCAAAGAAAGCCAGCCCACAATCCCAGAGAACCTAGACAACAAAGAGGACACTAAGAGAGACGTACATGAATCTAATCTATATGAGAAGTAGAAAAAGACAAGATCTCTGGAGTAAATTGGGAACATGGAGTTCATGGGAGAGGGGTGAAGGGGAGGGGCAAGGAAGGGAGAGGAAAGCCAGGTGGAAGGCGCACGCCTTTAATCCCAGCACAGGGGAGGCAGAGGCAGGAGGATCTCTATGAATTCGAGGTCAGCCTGGTCTACAAAAGCTAGTTCTAGGACAAGCTCCAAAGTTACAGAGAAACCTTGCCTCAAAAAAAAAAAAAAAAAGGAAAATAGCCCCCAAAGGGAATATAGCCTTTTTGCTCAGGATACCACCCAGTGAGTCAGCTGACTTCCTGTAGCCTGTGGAATTCAGCTATTCCTCCAGCATCACATCCTACCTGCTTGTCACCATGTTCCCTAAAAATCATTTCAGGGACAATGGACGGAACTTCTGAAAATATAAGCCAGCACCTCAATTCAATGTTTCTCTTTATAGGTGTTGTCATGGTGTCTCTTCAAAGCAATAAAAACCCAAACTGCGACAACTTCCTTCCTATATGGAACTGCATAGACACCTCACTTGGAACAATGGAGTAAGTTTTCCCTTTCCTTAAAAAAATCAAAAAACAACAACAAACCCCCTTAAATTTGGCAGGGTGGTGGCGCACGCCTTTAATCCCAGCACTCAGAAGACAGAGGCAGGTGGATCTCTGTGAGTTTAAGGCCAGCCTGGTCTACAGAGCTAGTTTCAGGACAGCCAAGTCTGCACAAAAAAACCAAGCCTGCACAAAGAAACCTTGTCTTGAAAAACTCAAACCAAACCAAACAAATAAAGCATCAAACTTACTCCACTTATGAAGTAAACTGGTTTTGAATGCATGCAAAGTAAGACAAAATGTACACTTAGAGTGAGCTGTGAGGGAAGGGTCCCTATTCACCATGCTAGGCCTATACACAATTGGATGTACACAGGATTACAAATGAGATCCATAAAAATGAGTATAATAGCCAGATGGTGGTGGTGCACACCTTTAATCCCAGCACTTGGGAGGCAGAGGCAGGCGGATCTCTGTGAGTTCGAGACCAGCCTGGTCTACAAGAGCTAGTTCCAGGACAGGCACCAAAACCACAGAGAAACCCTGTCTCGAAAAAACAAAAAAACAAAACAAAAAAACAAAACAAAACAAAAAAATGAGTATAATAGAAAAATGATTATATAATTTGTTCTGTTAGTTACAATAGAAAATGTTTTCATAGTACAAGCGTAATAACCAAACTCCTGAGACTCCTGAGACTCCTGACCCCTGAAAGGAGGCCCACAGTCAAGCACTTTCCCTCGTGCCCTTGAGGTTGCTCCTGCTTTCAAAAACGTTACTCTGCTACTTTTCAAAATCCAAGTGAGTCTTTATTTTAATTCCTTGAGTAAAAAGCCAAGAATCTGGCAACACCCAGCCCAGATCTGGGTCATTGTTACCAGTCCAGGGATAGACGTGTCTAATCAGGACATGGCTATAAGATTTGAACTGTTTGGCTTGTAACTTCAAAGAGATTCTAATACCAAATTGCTGAAAGGATTTAAAAATCTGAAAAAATTCATTTTTCTCTTGGCTGGTGAGACTGCTAAGTGGGAGGAGAAGTTTGATGAAAAGTCTAATGCCCTGAGTTTGAGTCCCAGGACTTCCACAGTGTCTTCTATCCTCCACATTCATGCCCTGCCACTCTTTCTAAGACAAAGAAAACTGACCAAGTCATAATCCCAGTACTGTGAAGACACAGAAAGGAGGAATGGGTATTCAAGGTCATTCTCAGGTATATAGCAAGTTCAAAGCTAGTGTGAGCTACACGAGACCCTGTCTCCTAAGTGCAAAACAAGAAACAAAAACTCTTTAAAAAAGTTATTTAATTAGAACATTCCACTTAAATATTGGTACAGTCAGCATGGCTAGATAATTAAGGACTGATCACTGTAAGATTCTAAAGTTCTTTGTAACTGATTAAAGAGAAATCTGTTGGGGAAAAAAAAAAGTTAATTAATTAATTAATTTGAAACAAGGCCACTGTGTCCCAGGCCGGCTTCAAACTGCCTCACTCTCAGTGCTGATTATACGATGTGGGAGACTTTTGTGTTGATTTCATTGGTTAAATAAAGAAACTGCCTTGGCCCTTTAACAGGACAGAAAATTAGGTAGGTGGAGTAAACAGAACAGAATGCTGGGAGAAAGAAAGCCGAGTCAAGAGTCGCCATGATTCTCCCACTCCACAGACGCAGGTTAAGATCTTTCCTGGTAAGCCAGCTCATGGTGCTACACAGAATATTAGAAATGGGTTAGATCAATATGTAAGAGCTAGCCAATAAGGGGCTGGAACTAATGGGCCAGGCAGTGTTTAAAAGAATACAGTTTCCGTGTAATTATTTCGGGTAAAGCTAGCCGGGTGGCGGGAAGCAGCCCACCGCTCAGATCACAACAATTATAGGTATTCATTAAGTCACAGGCCTGGCTCTTTCTTTTGAGACAGTGTAATGACTCATGCAGCTAGCTCAGGCTGGCATGCAATGGTGATTTCAAATACTCGATTCTTTTGCCTCTACCTCACAAATAATGGGGCTACAGGTAGTGCCACCATGTCTGCGCTCCCCCCCCCTTTAATAGTTAGTTACTTACCTTTGTGAATGTGCGTATGTCCCAGAACACTTGCGAAAACAAGAGGACAGTTTTCAGAAGTCTCTTCTCTCCTTCTACTATATGGGTCCCAGGGAAACTCAGGTTGTTGGGTCTGGTAGCAGGAGTCTTATCTGCTGAACCATTTTGCTGGTTCTGAGCATGATCTTTTTAATATTTTCCTTCCTACTTTTCAATAAGACAGGCTCTTGTTTGGCTGGGTGGTGGCAGTGCATGCCTTTAATCCCAGCACTCAGGAGGCAGAGGCAGGCGGATCTCTGTGAGTTTGAGGCCAGTCTGGTCTACAAGAGCTAGTTCCAGGACAGGCTCCAAAGCTTCAGAGAAACCCTGTCTTGAAAAAGTGAAAAAAAAAAAAAAAAAAAAAAAGAGACAGGCTCTGGTGTAGCCATTGTCTGGCTTGAGGCTGGCCTTGAACTCCGGATCTTCATGCTTTCACATCCCAAGAGCTGGTATTAAAGGCATGCACAACCACATCCTACACTAGACATTTCATGGGTCAGGTGTTGTGGTGAGATTTTAATCCTAGCACTTGAAGCCAGGCGGTGGTGGCGCACTCCTTTAATCCCAGCACTCGGGAGGCAGAGGCAGGTGGATCTCTGTGAGTTTGAGACCAGCCTGGTCTACAAGAACTAGTTCCAGGACAGGCTCCAAAGCTACAGAGAAACCCTGTCTCGAAAAACGGAAAAAAAAAAAAAATTCTAGCACTTGGAAGGCAGAAGCATGTTGTGGGACAAGCATGTCTTGTACCTTGTAAAGATTTGTTACTTGTATTGTTTAATAAAATGCTGATTGGCCAGTAGCCAATCAGGAAGTAGAGATGCGGCCACCAGAATAGGAGAATTCTGGGAAGAGGAAAGGCTCATTTATCAGTCATCACTCAGACTCACTCAGACACAGAGGAAGCAAGATAAGAATGCTTCAGTGATAAAAGGTACCAAGCCACATGGCTGACACAGACAAGAATTATGGGTTAATGTAAAATGTAAGAGTTAAATAATAAGACGCCTGAGCTAATATAAACCAACCAGTTAGCCGGGCAGTGGTGGCGCACGCCTTTAATCCCAGCACTCAGGAGGCAGAGGCAGGCAGATCTCTGTGAGTTCGAGGCCAGCCTGGTCTATAAGAGCTAGTTCCAGGACAGGCTCCAAAACCACAGAGAAACCCTGTCTCGAAAAATCAAAAACAAAACAAAACAAAAAAAACAAACCAACCAGTTTATAATTAATGTAGACCTCTGTGTGTTTCTTTGGGACTGAACAGCTTTGGGACTAGGTGAGACAGAAACCTCTGTCAACATAAGCAGGTGGATCTCTGTAAGTCAGAGCAAGCCTGTTCTACAAAGTGAGTCCTAGGATAGCCAGAGATACACAGTGAGACAAAGTGTCAAAATAAAACTAACGAAACAAAAACAAAAGGATGCACAGACAAGGCTGCATCTCATCTGTTCTGGACTGGATACTAGCTCAAATAATGAGGCTATTTCTAACATTCACTCAAAAAGACTGGAAAAAGGAAACCAGATGCTTTGGATGTATAGTTCTTATGTAAATATGTGAGCAAAGTCCTTGAATTTATGATTACGATTTTTTTCTCTCCATAATGCATCTGACATCACTGTGTCAAGTAACTGAGACAAGGGAAGGTAAAGGTGCCTGGCCCATGCAAGCCTGGTGATCTGACTTCAATCTCTGGAAGCCATGTAAATTTAGAAAGAGAAAACTAATTCCAGGAAATAGCACTCTAGTCTTCACGTATGTGTTGAGGCACACATGACCCAACCCTTATATCATTTATATACATATACCCTTCAATAAAAAAAAAAAGCTGGGCAATTTACCCACTCCAAATAGATACTATAATGTAGTCTTAGCTGGCCTAAAACACAGTATTTTGATTAGGCTGGTCTCAAACTCCTTGTGCCAGGATTACAGGTGTATACCACCATACCTAGCTCTAAATTTTTTTTTATTTAACGTGTATTTTGCCTGTATTCATATATACCCTGTGCATGAAGTGTCCATGGAGACTAGAGGAGGGCACTGGATCTCCTAGAACTGGAGTTACATAGTGGCAGTGTGCCACTATAGTTCCTAGAGTGCTAGGAAGTAAACCTGGTTCCTCTGGAAAGTTAGCCAGTGCTCCCAAAAGATGAGTCATCTCTTCAATCCTGATTTTTTAAAAGCAATTAAAATGATCATTTTTGAATAATTTTATAGAATTAAGAATAAGTCTTCCGAGAAAGATGGTGGTGGCACAAGAATTTTACCAGCACTTGGGAGGCAGAGGCAGGTAATCTCTGTAAGTTTGAGGTCAGCTTGGCTACTAAGAGTTCCAGAACAGCCAGGGCTACACAGAGAGATCCTGCCTCAAAAAACAAAACAACAAAAGAATAAGTCTTCCTATGCCTTACCAGACTTAATATTCCCGTCATCTCTGCAGATGCCATTCCAACGGGTGTACAATGATGTTGAGTGGATGTCACGGTTGTGCTTTACTTCTTCCTGTTTCTGATGAATCTTTTCCCAGTTTCGGACCAAGAACACATGATGCTTTAATATAAAGTTTCTGCAAGAAAAGAGAGGGGTGTTCCTTAATACTCCAGTAGGACTTTATTACATTTCTCACTCTCTACTGCGGCTAAGTGACATAGGTAAGGGAGCAGAACAGTGACGAGACAGGGTTCCTGTATAACAGTCCTTGCTGTCAGGGAACTAGTTCTGTAGACCAGGCTGGCCTCAAACTCCTAAGACCTGGGATTAAAGGTATGTGCCATCACCGCCTGGTTGAGTTTGGAGCTTTTAATAAAGACAATTACAGAATTTGACACTGGTTATCTGAGCACTTAGGGGACTCAGACTTGAAAGTCTACTCGGGTGCTGGAGAGATGGCTCAGTGGTTAAGAGCGCTAGCTATTCTTACAGAGGTCATGAGTTCAATTGCCAGCAACCACATGGTACCTCCCAGGTACCTATAATGAGATCTGGTGCCCTCTTCTGGCATACAGGCATGCAGAACGTATGTATTATTTATACATAATAAATAAATCTTAAAAGAAAAAAAAAGAAAGCCTACTTGGGAAAGACAGTGTGACTTGCAAAACAACTAAATACCATTTTCCTATATTATCTTCAAACATTTGGTAAGAAAATAAATAAATGAGAAAGCAAGAGGTTTTTGGAATGTTGTATAAATCTTGTTTTATTTATGGTCCTGAATTCACTATTATAGTCTAGGCTGAACTCAAATCGTGTAACCTTCTAGTTTCAGACTTCCAACTCCTAAGAATACAGAAGTATACCAGAACATCCCGCTATTTATACAAACTGGGTGGTTCTGTTTATTTATTCAAGTCAGGCACGGTGGCGCACTCCTTTATTCTAACACTGGGGAGGTAGAGGCAGGCTGATCTCTGTGAGTTAGAGGCCAACCTGGTCTACAGAGTGAGGTCAAGAACAGAGAGGGCTGTTATACAGAGAAACCCTGTCTTGAAAACGAAACCAAACCAAACCAAACCAAACCAATTCACTTATTCACAAATTTATTTTGAGATAGTCTCACTGTAGCTCTGGATGATCTGAAACTCTCTATGTAGACCAGGCTGGTCTGGAACTCACAGATTTTGTCTGCCTCTGCCTCCCAAGTGTGAATTAAAAGTCGTGCACCACCATACCCAGCCTATTTATTTTTATTTTATTTGTTTGAATGTTTCGTCTTCATGTACATGTGTGTAACATGCATATGCAGTGCTCATAGAGGTTAAGAGAGGGCACACGCATGCATGAACATATATATGCAGTGCTCACAGAGACAGAAGAGAGGGCACCTGAACTTTCAGAACTAAGATTATAGGTAGTTGTCAGCTGTTGGATTGGTGATAGAAACCAAATCCTGAACCTAAGTTAAAAAAAAAAAAAATGCTCTCACCAAGGCCAGCTGGACTGTGACTGAGAAAGCATGGGATAAAACCGGACTCTCTGAACATGGCGAACAATGAGGGCTGATGAGAAGCCAAGGACAATGGCACGGGGTTTTGATCCTACTTCATGTTCAGGCTAGGTGGGAGACTAGCCAGTTTGGACGTTCACCTTCCTAGACATAAACGGAGGGGAGAGGACCTTGGACTTTCCACAGGGCAGGGAACCCTGACTGCTCTTTGGACTGGAGAGGGAGGGGGAGAGGAGTGGGGGGAGGGGGAGGGGAGGGGGGGAGGGGGAGAAGGGTGGGAGGAGAGGGAGGGAAATGGGAGGCTGGGAGGAGGCGGAAACTTTTTTTTTTCCTTTTCTCAATAAAAGAAAAGCTCTTAACCACTAGCCACAGCTCTAGCCCTTCAATATATTTATTGTCAGTGTGTGTGTGTGTGTGTGTGTGTGTGCGCGTGTGTGTGTATGCACGTATGATATGCATATAGGCAGTGCGAGGGCCACAGTGACTACTTGGAGGTCACAGGACATCTTGTGAAGTCAGTTCTCTCCTTCCACTTTTATAATGATTCTGGGGAATATAATTTAAATCATGAGGCAAGTGCATTTCCCTCCCTCCCTCCCTCCCTTCTTTTTTTCTTTCGGTTTCTCAAGACAGGGTTTCTCTGTGGCTTTGGAGCCTGTCCTGGAACTAGTTCTTGTAGACCAGGTTGGTCTCAAACCCACAGAGATCCGCCTGCCTCTGCCTTCTGAGTGTTGGGATTAAAGGCTTGTGCCACCACCACCCAGCTGTTTTTTTTTTTTTTTCTCCTGAGCCATTTCAACAGCCCTGACTGTTATGCTCTGTTGGCCTGCTATGTCACCTGGGTACCCTGTCCCTTTAAGAGACAAGCCCCACCCACTCCCAACTCCCCTTCTGCAGAGGCAAGCAGGCCTCCTCCAGCCTGAGCTCTCTCCCCTGAAGAGGTAACTTCTGCTATCTCTCTCCCTCTCTCTTCTTTCCCCTTCCCTTGTCCCTCCATAACCCACTGAATAAACCCTATACCTAAACTCTTTTTGCATGGCTTATCTGTCTGTCTCTCACCCACTACAGTTTCCCTGAGACCTCTGGTCACTGCCACCCCTTGTGCTACACCTGCCCATCCTGAGACCAGACCCCCACCACTATATCTTTGAAAAAGAATAACACTGACTTTGAACATTTTTGTTTGTTTTGTTTTTTAGACAGAGTCGTTCTGCCTAACAGTTCTGGCTGTCCTGGAACTTGCTTTGTAGAACACGCTTGCCTCAAACTCATAAACAATCTGCCTGCCATTGCTTGACTGACTTTGAAATTTTTTTTCTGATAAATAGCTAATTCCTAAAATATTTTCTTCTTTTTCTATTTTGTACACTGTGAACATGTGTCTCTGCTAAGGCACTTTCTGATTGGTTTAATAAAGAGCTCAGCCGAGAGGTGGTGGTGCACACCTTTAATCCCAGCACTGGGAGGCAGAGGCAGGCGGATCTCAGGCCAGCCTGGTCTACAAGAGCTAGTTCCAGGACAGGCTCCAAAGCCACACAGAGAAACCTTGTCTCAAAAAAACAAACAAAAAGTATTCAAACCCATTGAGCCATCTAGCCATTTGACTAACTTCTTTCTTTCCTTTTGATAGGGATAGTTCTTATCAGAATAAGCAAGGGTTCTTAATTGCTGAGCTACCTCTTCTAGCCTGAAACTTAGTTTTTTTTCTTTCTTTTTGGAGACAAGGTTTTTATATGTAGTTCACTTCCAGAGTGCTGGCATTAAAGGTTTGTAGCCTTTATCAAGCCTGCATCAAGCCTAACTTTTATTTATTTTTAAATTTTTATTTATCCGTGTGTGTTTTATGTGACATGTATGAGCAAGAAACTTGAGGCCCTGGTTTAAAACATCAAAATGATACATACATACAAATCAATGTTTTTTCTCTATGTGTACTGTGGATCAAATTAGGTAACTTCTACATGTTAGCAGTGTATTGACTTATGACCACTTATATTATCATTTATTTATTTATTTGGGTGTTTATTTTCAGGTTCTATATTTTTTTCTAGATTTATTTATTATGTGTACAGTGTTCTGCCTGCATGTACGCCTGCAGGCCAGAAGGCAGAAAAAGAGCTTATTATAAAGGTTGTGAGTCATCTTGTAGTTGATGGAAAATAAACTCAGGACCTCTGGAAGAGCAGGCAGCGCTCTTACCTTTGAGTCATCTCTCCAGCCCTATTTCTAGATTCTCATTATATGACTTTGACTGGCTTGTAGAGAGGGTTGGTCTAAAACTTGCAGAGATTCATCTGGTTCTGCCTCCAACTTTAATGCCTTAGTGCTGGCATTAAAGGCATGCACTACCATGACTAGTTCCTACATTCTTTTTTTTTTTTTTTTTAATTTTTATGTGTATGGCTGTTTTGCCTGTATGCATGTTCCTGCTCCACATATATGCTCCGTGCCTGTGAAGGTCAGAAGAGGTCATTATTTTCCTCGGAACAGGAATTACAAATAGTTGTGAGCCACCATATGGGCATTAGGAACTGAACCTGGGTCCTCTGGAAGAGCAGTAAGTGCTCTTAACCACTGAGCTATATCTCTAGTCCCTTATATTCTTTTTTGAGACAGGATGAGGTGGTCTGAAAGAATATGGCCCCTAAAGGGAGCAGCACTATTAGGAGGTGTGGTTTTGTTATAGCAGGTGTGGTCTTGTTGGAGGAGGAGTGTCATTGAGAGAGAGGGCCTTGAGAAGTCTCCCCGTGCTCAAGTTACTCCCAGGACACAGACCATTTTCTGCTGCTTCCAAGACCATTCAGCTACTCCTCCAGCACCCTGTCTGCCTGCATAGCACTATGTCCCACCACTATAATGAACAGAACCTCTGAAACTGTAAGTCGACATCTCAATTAAAGGTTTTCCTTTATATGAGTTAACATGCCATGTTGTCTCTTGACAGCAATGGAAGCCCTAAATAAGACACTGTCACCGTGATAAAGCACCAGGACCAGAAACAACCTGGGGAGAAAGAGCTTATTGGGCTACAGGTTACAGTTCATCATCAGAGGGAGCCATGGAGGACTGCTACTCACTGGCTTGCTTCCCATGGTTCACTCCCTCACTCCTGCTTTTTTTTTTATAGGAAACAGGATCCAGGTGTATGCCACCGCCCCAATCCAGTGCTTTCCTTTGTAAAAGTTACTGTGACTGGGCGGTGGTCGCACGCCTTTAATCCCAGCACTCGGGAGGCAGGAGAGGCAGAGGTGAGTTCTCTGTGAGTTCGAGGTCAGCCTGGTCTACAAGAGCTAGTTCTGGAACAGGCTCCAAAGCTACAGAAAACCCTGTCTCAAAAAACCAAAAAAAAAAAAAAAAAAAAAAACAAAAAAA